AAATGAATAAAACAAAGCATGATCAACAGCAGATAGGCAGAGGTATTTGCCTTAAACTGGCAGCTAAGGTAGTATCTGTCTTTACTGGATTTTTTTATACATTTCAATTTTTATTATTAAAATACATGCCGAGTACAGTAAGCATGCTTTGTAAGGGGCTAGAATGGACACAGAGATCACAGGTTGTCTACCACATTAGACCATGAAAAGATCATGCAGCTTGCAGAGCACCTAAAATCACTGCAGAAGTGGAAACAGCCAAGAAACATTCAGGTCAAATCCAGAGGTGTGGGAAAGGATTGGGGGCAGAGAGCAAGCAATGCATCCAAACTTAGATTCTTGGCTTCTGTCACTGGACACTTAGTGGTGTCATTCGCTGAGATGAAAAGTAAACATGAGCTGGGGCCAGGGAGACGGTGCAGTAGAATCAGCGCTTGCCTGGCTAGGGCAAGGGCCTGAGTTCAATGCCTCGTTCCACCAAAAAAAAAAAAAAAAAAGAAAAAGAAAAAGAAAAGAAAAGTAAATATGACAATCAAGTTGTAGGAGGTTTTTTTTTAGGGGGGATCAAGGAGAATCATTCATGTCTGCATCTTGTACAGCAAATAACCACTAGGAAGAAAGTATGCAATGTGTTAATTATTGAAACTGTCCTACCAATTTGATTTGAAACTGTCTCGTTGCTATTTGTTTCTCAATAAAACTATGGAAAATAAAATAAAATTAAAAAAGGAGAATCATAAGCTTGGTTTGGGGCATGCTGAATCTGAGATATCACTGAAACAACTAGTTTACAAGAGAGGTAACTGGTATATGGATCTGGAAACAGAGGTCTGAGTTAGAGAAATCAGAGTCACCTGCAAACACATAGTAATTTGAGCAACCGATATGAAGGAGACAATCTAAGAAGAGAACGTGGAACAAAAACTACTAACCAGGACCAAGCTTGTGGCACTCCAACCTTCACTGGTTGGGTAAATGAAGAGGGATGTGGCTGTGGTGGAGACAAAGAGGGAACGGTGTTGCAATAATAAAGATCTAGAAAAAAATTCAGGTAAAAACTGATTAACAACTGCTATGGAGCCAGGGATTTAGCTCAGTGGCACAGCACCTGCCTAGCAAGCGTGAGGTCCTGAATTCGATTCCTGGTACTCAAAAAGAAAAAACCCCAAAACTGCCATTTACTTATCTATAGTACACAGAATTTGTGAATGTTAGATTACCTGGCAAAGGGGAATAAAGGTTACAGATAGAATGAGACTGCTTATTATGTGAACTGAAAACAATTATGCTGGGCTATTTGGGTAGGGCCAGTGTAATCACAAGTCTTTCCATGTAAGAGAGGGGAAGAGATAAGAATGATTCAATACGAGAAATAACTCTGTTCACTGGTGCACGGAGCTTCTAAAAGATAAAAGAGTAAGAAAACAAATTCTTTCCTCCAGCCCCCAGAAAGAAACACAGCCTACTCAACACCTTGATTTTAGCCTGGCTATGTTAAGACTAATTTTAAGTTAGTGACTTGTTATAGCAGTTATGTGAAACTAGTGAGTTTGCACCACATAATAAGCATTTTGTATGCATTACCTCAATCCTTACAACTTTTTTGTAACAGGAATTGAACTCAGGACCTCACGCTTGGGAGGCAGGTGCTATGCTGCTGAGCTAATCCCTAGCCTTATAACATTTTTCTAACATATATACAGGGAAAATGAACTCCTGTCTCACAAACAAAACAGAGGCTCACTATATGAGACCTACTTTGTACAGCAGCAGCAGCAGCAGCACTGGAGCTGTTTCAGTGGAAGAATAAGACTAAAGAAAGGAGGAAGAAAAGAAGAAATGGAGAAGGCCGGAAGATAGCTCAGCAGACTAAAGCATCTGCTTAGGCAGAGCGCAGCAGCCAGGGTTCAATCCTGGTGTGGTGTGCCAGCCCTACCCCCGGGCGCACTGGGAGGGTAAGACTGGGCATGGTGGCGCGTGTCTGTAACTCCAGATCTGTGAACACAAGAGGCTCACTATGAGTCTGATCTATATAGCAAGACTCTGTAGACCCTGTACTAAATACAAGAAAAAAAAAGAAAGAAAGAAAAGAAGAAATGGAGATGGTTAAGTATTTGCACAGGGCAGATACTGGCTCCACAAGGCAAGGGCGAGACGAGTAGTAATGAAACTCAAGGTAGGAGAGAGGCTTGAGTGTGATTAAAAGGCCAGTGTGAAGAACCTGCTTGAGAAACCAGCGCCTGGGGCAGTGCCTGTAGCAGGCACTAAACATTACTGGCTAAATAAAGGTATTTAGTTTAATAAACAAAAAAGGAAGGGGAGGAAGGGGAGTAAAGCAATTTTCTCAGCAAGGAGAAATCCTTGAATCCAAGGCAGCCTCACTCCAACTGCTGAGGAGGACACCGGAATCCACTGCAACAATAATGGTTAACAGAGCAGCTCTTACTCTTCCCTGTCTGCTTCTCACCACCTCTATATGCAACACCAGCATTTTTATTCATCTACCCTGCATGTGAATGAGTATGCACTCAGTGAAGCACCTGCTCTTTAATCACTCAAGGAAACAGAACCATAGAGTATCACTAAATCTTTAATGGAGTCATTCTATTTAACTGATAAACAGCATCAAAACTCAAAGGCTGATAGTTGAAGATGTGTATGAAGGGACAGTCAATATACAGAAACTGTACTTACTGCTCAATTTTACTGTGAATCCAAACTACTGTAAAAAATAAAGTGCATCAAAAATTAATATGCTCCCTAAAATAGTAAAAATACCATAGTCTATAAAACCTAAGACAGGGCCAGGAGATGGCTCAGTGGAATAAGCGCTTTCCTGGTAAGCGCAAGGGTCTGAGTTCAATCCCCGGTTCCACCAAAAAAAAAAAAAAACAAAAAAAAACAAAATAAAAATAAAACCTAAGAGGCTGAAAATGAAGAGCTGCTCAAATATAGTGTTAATACCTACTTTTTTCGAGTAATGACGCCTTCCAAGGTTTTAAATTCTGTCTTTTTGCTTTTCTGAGAACACACCATAGATCGCTGCACAGCTACACATTCTCCATTGACATC